TCCTCTGAACCCTATATCCCAATTCGATCACAAAGTCCATTGATGCGAGAATTATACGCACACAAATTAAACCCTCTTTTTATCAATTGTAGTAAGTATGTAAGTAGGGATCATTCTTAACCAGGGATTAGGAGGGATTGCAAATCACTTGGAAACTGACTCAAAAACGTAAAATAAAGTTTAAAACACTAAACTAGACTCAAAGAATGCGAGACTAAACGCTTAAAACACTAAAACAAACCAAAAGACTCAAACATCACCCAAAATACTCAAAACTGCCTTAAAAACACTTTCTGGGCAGTTTTGAGCACCTTGGTGAATTTGGACGAATTTGTGCAACAAATTGAATCAAAACACTTATAAACACAAACTAAGACACTTTCTAACTAATTTGGATAATACAAAGACTCAAAGGACTCAAAACAAGTTCAAAAGACTCAAAACTGCCTAAAAACACTAACTAGGCAGTTTCTGACCTTAAACCCAATTTTGGACGAATTTAAGATTATGGCTTGATTCAAAACATTTTAAAACATAAACTAAACAGATTCTAAGCACTAAAGAACAAGAAAGTAAAGGGGGGGTTTTGATTTGACGAAAATTGAAATAACAAAACAAGTTAATAAACTAGGCAGAATTGTAAAACGAATTCCTTGAAAACAAGATAATGGATGGATTAGTTAGAGGTCCATTCTCCACACAAGACACATTTGTATATGAATCGATTCTCCAATTGCTTTTCATTAACTATGATGCTCAACACCCCAAGTTAACCGTGATGCACTAATTAACTCTCAAATTTTCCTTATGTTATTGAATTGGATGATGCATGCGACAATTCAAATCATTCTCCAATGGTTCTCAACATGAATGCATAGAAGAGATACAATGAGAGATCATTATGCTCTATGAAAATTATAAGTGTTGACGAGGCAATTGTAACTATGAATGCATGATACTCTTGCCAAGAATTCAATTAACGCGGTTGTGACTAATTGCAATCACAACTTAACAAATCACAATTGGAAGAAATCAATTCATATTTCAAACATGTTCATGGCTTCAAACTTTCCCCTAACTAATTAGGGGTTTAGCCACTCATGATTACAACAAACTTAGAGAGTAATAACAAAGTAAACATTGAAAACAAGAATCGAAGTACACCTAAAAATTCCAACAACTCAATCTTGAATTGTATGAACGTTTAAGCCTCTTCTCCTCTAGTTGCTGCGGCACAAGGGGTTTTGGTGAGTTTTGGGGGTTATGGATGATGTAGAATGATGTGTTTAGGGTAGGGATGGATGTAGGAGTGTTTTTGGGCAGAAAATATGAAGAATGGTGAAGTATGGCTGTGTTAGAGAGAGGGAATGAATTTCTGGCGTGAATGAATGTGCATGAGAGGTGGTGATCTGATCTAGGGGTTAATATGAGTATATATAGGCACTTAGAACCCTAGGGAAATCAGATATGGACTTGAATTAATTAATGGGAGAGCATGGGAGTGCATGTGGCTGATTTGTGGTGCAATGATGAAAGGCAAAGTGCATGTGGCTGATTTGTGGTGTAATGATGAAAGGATGGAAGTGCATGTGGCTGCAATGGATTAAAGGATGGGAGTGCAAGTGGCTGAAATGGATTAAAGGATGGAAGTGCATGTGGCTGCAATGTAGCCTTCTAGAAATCAGGTTTTTAGGCCCCCTTGCAACTCCCTAACTGAATTCAAGCCTTTCAAATTCGTCCATCCTCATGCCTCCATGCTTGCACTATCCAATCTTGGCCCAAAAATGCTCTAGAATGCTCCAAATTACTTCTTTTTGCATACTTTGACACTAAAACCTGAAATTGCACGAAAATAACTTTAAACACTATAATTAACATAGTTTAGCTAATTAAATGCAAGAAAACAAGCTAACTAAGTCGTATAAATATGCTCCTATCATCCATCACCAAGTGAAGATGGTGGATATGATTATTAAGTTTATGTAGTGTATGAATTATGCAATTTATTAATTAAGTTTATTAATTGTTGTTTGTATTAAGTTTATGTAGTATATTAATTATGTGGTTTATGAATTATCGGTTGTATTAAGTTTATGTGGTTTATTAATTATTGTTTCTATTAATCTAGATGCCTTCAATAATTATTATACTTATTATTCCACACTTTGATGTAGAATAGATGCCTTCAATAATTCAACCTTTATTTAGTAATTTATCCAACGTAGTAGACAAAATACTTTGCACAAGAAGACACTTAAAATTTATTACTAGAAAATAACAACATAGTACACTTAAAATTATTACATAAATGCTTAACCAAAATCATCAACATTCACCTTCTCGGTGCCATACATGCTCAACCAAATCCTTGCGAAGTGTGTCATGACATTGAAGAGCTTGAATTCTATTTAAACATCTCATATACTCACTTAAGGTGACCTTATCCTGTCGGGTCTCGTACGTGGTTGGAGCGAGATATTCAACATCTCTTGCAATGTGTTGGTTGGTCTTCATCCACATCTTCGTCTGAATCTTCTTCAATTTCGATGTACTCATCTTCCACAATCATGTTGTGCAAAAATTATGCAAGTCATCATGATTGAATGGAGGTTTTTAGTTTGCCAAAATCATGCAGGCCCTCTAACAATGGCCTAGGAGCTTGTAGGATCCTGAACACTCTCTCTACATCCTTCCTGTAAGACTCTTGCCTATGTGAAAATAATTTCTTCTTTGCACTATTGGGATGAGAAAAACTTTTGACAAAGGTAGACCAACTAGGATAAATACCATTAGTTAGGTAGTAACCTAGCTCATACCTATTACCATTTGTCTTGTACCGAAATTCTGGTGCCCATCAATCGACAACATCATCGAACAAAGAAGAAGACCAGAGATCGTTGATATCGTTGTTTGATCTAGGAGCACTGAAGAAAGCATGCCAAGTCTATGTGTCGTAAGACGCCACAGCCTCGAACACGATGGTTGGCTTGTTATGACGACCCTTGAATTGGCCAGCCTAAGTGGTAGGACAATTTTTCCACTCCCAATGCATACAATCGAGACTTCCTATCATGCCAGGGAAGCCTCTTTTGTCTGCCTTCCATAGAAGCCTCTTCAAGTCTTCACGATTTGGCTTGCGGAGGTATGTGGCTCCATATATGGCTTGAATTGCCTGACAGAAGCACTTCAGGTTCTCAATATCAATACTTTCCGCAAATAGGCAATACTCGTCAGTTGAGTCTGCAAAGCACCCATTAGCTAGCATGCGAAAAACATATGTGAGTTTCTGATAAGGTGACAGACTTTGTCGACATGCGACATTTATCTTCCTTGGAAAGTAGTGGTCATGATTGACAACTACGTTCAAGATGCTTTTAAAAAGCTCTCTCTTCATCTGAAACCGCCTCCGAAAATCATGAGCAAGAAATCTCAAACGCTCGATGAAATAATCTTTCATCATTTGGTCATGACACTCTTCTTTATCACACTGCACAAATGAACGTCCCGTGACAGAATCACAATGACTAGATTCGCTATGGTGCTCATATTGCATAAACGAGTTTACAAGTTCAGCTTCCACATTGATTAATTCTGCATCCTTAATCTCAATCCTTGCTTGGTATTATGCCATCTGCATTACCATGCTACGCCTTCTTCTATCACCCATTGATGAGATATTGAGGAATTTTAGGAAACACAAACTCTTTGAAAGTTGAAAGATTGGGGAATATAGAGGATGATTGAAGGTTGAAAGGTTATGTGATCAACTAATATTGGACATATGTTTATATGGAGGATGATTGATGAAAGTTGAACGGTTGGTGAAAGTTGAAAGTTTGGTGTTGAACATTTTGTGAATTCAAAGTTCAGCATTGAACGGTTGGTGAATTGAAAGTTTGGTGAGTTGAAAGATTAGTGAAAGTTGAAGGCTTGCTTTGTGGAAAAGTTAGTGATTTTTCAATATTTATCAGAATTTAAATATTTTTAGATTAAAATGTTCATAAAATTAATTTATGATAGTCTACATATTTATTTATTTTTTTAAATTTAATTTAAGAAAGAAATTAGCCTAAGTTCATTATTTAATAATCTTAGGCTAAAATTTTAGGCCAGAAGGGTTGGAGTAGAAAAGATGTTTCTGGGCTAAAAGCTAAATTTTTCAGTCTAAAAAATTTGGCTTTTAGCCCAAGGGTTGGAGATGGTCTAAGAGACCAAATATTTATACTATATTATTTTACTATTTCAAGTGTCAAGTGATGCCATTTGACGGTGGTTAAGGCGAGTTAAAATGCCTTTAGGCTTTCTAAGCCCCACTAAGGATTACTCCTATCCTTCGAGGTGACCCCAGGCTTGGCTAAAAGAAATGTGGCAAATGATGCATGTAAAAAACCTCCAATGAGATAAATTCATTAATTGATGTGGCATATATACATAGACAAACGATGTATAGACATATGTGAGCCTCTGTTAGCTATAGAGATCATTGGGGATCCAAAGGATTCTCTTAGATAAATACACATGCTACTGTATTTATACTAAACTTGAGAGGGCAATCTTTATTAATTGTGGATAGTATCAACAAGAGTAGGACTAATCTGCACACTTTGAACTACACTTCGGTCCAATGGCTCGTAACTGTGAAAGTGGCAACTTAGGAGGAAATAAATTAGCAAAAGACAGTCTCAACAAAGAAAAGGAAGGATGAAGTTCTGCTACAGATAAACCACTTGCCAAATAAATTGGGAATGTTGCTCCACATGGAGATCAAAGTAAAAACAATGGCTTTTCCATTTCTATACATTAAGGCTTTATCACTTTGGGTTCCGTGAATAAAAATTGGGCCAAACAAGATGGCACTTAACGACATGGCAAAGGTAGGGTATATGTGGTTTTAAATAAAAGAGCATGGAGACAACTTCGATGGTGTCAAATTAGTGGATGCAAACCACTTTAAATTTAGTGGATGCAGACCTTTTGCAACATTAGCTAACCAATATCAAGTCTCTACGACCCTTGAATCAAACACACACACACACACACACACATCCTCAGAGATCGAATCAGAGGTTCATGTTTAGATATTATAATCATAAACATTCATTTAGTACTACTATCATTTTTTTTACACCTATTCTTTTGCTATTTGTTGCAGGAAATTTCGTGTTTACAATGACAAAATGGAATATGCCGAGTATTAAAAGAAGACAACATGTAAGATGAAGTATGAATTTTATTAGCAACAATATTCAATTTGAATTTTCCATCACTAACATATCCCTTTCCTACAAAAACCTGATTCTTAGTCAGAGTATCTTCTCCAATGTTTGAGTAAATCTAGTGTTGTTGAAAGCCTGAGACTAGATTGTTCTATATTGCCGGAGTGTGCAACACATCCTTTAGTATCATGGCTTTTTCAAAGGTGAGCTTCAACTTTACCTCTCCAGCAATAGTAACATCAATTGAGTGCGAATCAATAAGCAGCATCTTCCTTCCTTCAACAGCAGAATAGGTCTTGAAAGGGAAACGATCATAGCAAACATGCCTTCAAAAGTCAAGTGATCAAGCATTCTAGGGAGAACTCCTCCTCCAGTTCTTGTTCCCTCGTCCCTTCCTTAAAGTGAAGTCAAGTGATCAAGCTTTCTAGGGAGAACTCCTTTGTCTTTGGGGGAAAGAGTTTTTGAAATTTTCCAGGTTGGTGGTAGCTTTTCAATGATTATGACAACTTGAAATTGATCAGCTAAAACCATACCTTCAAAAGTAATTTCATGAGCAATTTTATGTAATTGATGAGATTGTGCTTCAACAGATTTATCATCAACCATCTGATATTTCAAATAATGACTAACAGTAAATTTCTTGGCCCCAGTTTGTTCAGTGTCATATTTTTTTTCTTCTGAATTGTATCCCATAAATCTTTATAGTGCCATAATCAGAGTAGTGATAAAAAAGATCACTACAATTAGCCTTCAATACTTGTACCTCCACCATCTCTTTCTTTCCATCCTTTTCTACTTCTTGTATTTATGAGACGGTACACTTAGTGACATGATCCCAAACCCAAGATCTCTCAAAAGAAGATCTCTCTAATGTAGCTAATATAGTTGGTTGTTTTGTCTTTGGAATAGGTGGTGCTTTTCTTTTTCTGGAGGAGGAGGGTTTTGGGGGAGGCATTGATGATTTTGACTATGTGGGTTGTGCTTGTGTTGGTGGTTATGGAGGACATGGTGATGGTGATGTAGCCGTAGATGATGCTACATTAGTACTAGGGGTACTTTGGCTTTGAGATTGAGACATTATGTAAAATTCTGCAAAATATTAAATAATGAAAGTATATTCATTAATCAAATAAAGATATTTCAAAATATGCACACCAATTAATAATCAAAACAAGGAAGAAGCATGGCTTTGATACTACATTTATATTCCAAAGAAAACAACGATTTAGCTCAAGTATTTGATACTACATTTATATTCTACATGTATATATACAAAATTCTATACCATATGTATATTTAAATATTTTTAGTAACAATATTCATGTCTCTCAAAAGCTTACACCTCGCCTTGCAAGAGAGAGAAAGCCCTATACTATTTTGCATATTAAAACACTGGATGAAACCCACACACTAAAATCTGACTATGAGAAAATAAAATCAGCTAGGTTCACTATCCTACCTATGGCAAGTTTACTTGATTGGAATTGGGTTAGTGAAGAATAGGAATGAATCTGCTTGTTTAGGTATGGGATAAACTACCCCCACGTCCACATCATATCTGGTTGTGATACACATTACACACAGAATATGTTAAGCATTGGAATGATACACATTACACACACATAAGACATATTATATAGCAGAACATCTTCCTCAACCAATAACAGAACATCTTCCTTTCCTCAACCAATTATATATACAAGTATCAAAGTATCCTTTCCTCAAGAAAAAGAGGACTGCAACAATATGAGTATGCAAAACTTCGCAAATCTACAGGTAAAATTTCAAAATAAGTGCTTGAAAATTAGGGAGACAGACAAAAACTCCATAAGCCCACGAAATTTCCTAAAACAAGGGACAACCCTTTTGACAAAACTGAATTTTGGGGTTTTTCCTGTTCACCTCAGATACCAATACTTGAAAGAATAACCTTACTAACTATTGAGTTGCGCATTCAATCAAAACTCAAACCAAGATATTATATGTCAAATATTTTGAAGTAATTAGCTAGATAATCAAACCCAAATCATAAAAACTAAAAATATAGAGAATACTGAGAGGAAAAATGAAATAAGAGAAAAAAATATCACCTTTGTTGGCCAGCAGTGTCCCAAATCTGAGCCTTGATGAGCTTGGAATCAACGGTCAAAGTCTTGGTGGCGAACTCGATGCCGATGGTAGACTTTGACTCCAAATTAAACTTGTTCCTGGTGAACCTGGAAAGCACGTTTGACTTTCCCACCCCCAGAAAGTCTTGGTTGCACAGATGGTAGTCTTAACGCCAATGGTAGACAATAGTTGTCGAGGGAGTCAAAGCTTGAGGGAGTGACGGTGGAGACTCGAGAGGTGGGGCGTGGGAGTGAGAGAGTGAGTAGCAGGGTGTGCGTGCTTGTCTATGTGTGTGGCTTGCTTGTGGCTGGCCGGAGTCGTGTCGTAGAAGATGGACGGAAGAGTAACACCGTAGATTCGAGAGAGCTGAGAGGGCTGGGGACTGGGGACTTGGGGAGTGTTGGAGAGATCGAGATTCGAGAGTTGCTAAGACTAATTCACTGAAGTCTGAAATTGATTTGGATTTTGGAAACCTAGGTTACAAATTAATGGTTCGGATTGAATGATAGGTTATCATTCAATCTCCATCGTTGATTATAATTAAAAACGGGCCGGTCCGGGGCCCTGTTTTTCTAAGGTTTAGGAACTGACCTGCCCAGTAAATAACCATGGCCCGGCCCGTTTGTTCCCAAAAAAAGAGGACCAACCTGTACCCGCCCCGAACTACACTACCCGCCCCTACCCGCGGTTCCTCTACTCGTTTGCCCACCCCTACTTGGGACCTTTGTGCGACGAAGCTTACCTCATGTAAAGCTTGCAGTAATTATGTCGCCTGAAATGGCTCATTGACCATTTCAGATCACTTTGGGTGACGATGCCTTCGTCGCACAAGTTTTCATAGGAAAATGTCCGTCACACATGATGTTGGCGCCAAATTTTCCTTACCTGTGTTTTTTCTTAGTCTTTGCACACCGAACATATGGTGTCATTGTGCAAATTCCTTTCGCACGATGAAACTCTTCAGCACATAAGGTTTTTAATAATTTTTTTGCTTTTTAGTTAAAATGGTTCCTGAGATTTGCATAACTCATCACTCTGGTCCCTAAGATTTGAAATCAATAAAAGTGGTCCCTGAGTTTGTCCATCATCAATCATTTTGGTCCTTCCTTGAAAAATTATGTTAAACAAGGACCAAATGATAAAAGTACCCTTAATTTACTAAACAATGAGCCAAAATGATTTGACAAAAAATGAGGGTCTTTTTGTCATTTTCTCCTTATTTAATGGAGATTTTTCAAGGAATGACCAAAATGATTGATGGTAGACAAACTTAGGGACTACGTCTATTGATTTCAAATCTCAGGGACCAAAGTGATGAGTTATGCAAATCTCAGAGACCATTTTGGCTAAAAAAGCCTAAATGTTTTTGTGTGAAGATGTTTTTGCGCGATGATACCCTTATTTCGTCACACAATTAATCATTGCGCGAAGAAATTACATGTGTCACGTAAACTTTCATCACACAAATAATTTCTTCTACTAGTGACCACAGTCAGAAGTATTCACCCACCCGACTTTGGCAGAGAATTGGCCTTCTTGCATAAGCAATCAACCACCAAAGAACGTAATTAGCTCATTATGTTACTCGACTTGCACCACTCAAATTGTTTAATTTTTGGGCTCTAAAGGTGTTTGTTTGGAAGCTTGTTGGGATACACTTCCCACCAAGTCAAACTTAACAAAGAAGGGAGTCAGGTTAGACGAAGTCTATGCAATGTGTAGTAGTGGGCAAACTTAATTAACGATGTTATCAAATATATGAGATTTATACTTAACATTCAAAGAAACACTTGTTATAAATAGGTAAAAGTTAGAGAGATAACCTTTACTAGTGACAGGAGCGAAGCAGGTGTAAAATATCACACTATAATTGTAACACAAGGGAATGACTAATAAAAGTGGGAGGAATAGATATTGATGTTATTTATCTTTCTTTTCTTTCTATTTTCTATATTTGTTGATAGCAGTCGGAGTGCTCTATTTATAGAGCAACTCCGTATTATTACATGTTGAAAATTTACAACACCTTTTGAAAAATGATCTCCTTCATTTCCAAGTCCACATATCAACACTGCCAATGTTTTCATTCATCTGCCAATGTTGCAAATCCAATCTGTGTGGTATTGAAAAAATCTACCAAGGTTTTCAAAATCACTGTGGGCATTCATTAACCCACTAGTATTTTCAACACTCCCCCTTGGATGCCCACATATCAACATCAGTTGCCTCATTAAAACCTTGCATGGAAAAACCCAATGGGAAAAAACCATAGCGAAGGAAGAAGAGTACAACTTTACTTGGATTGTTATGCTTATGTTGCCTCATTAAAACCTTGATAGGAAAAACCTAGTGGGAAAAATCCTAATCGAAGGAAAAAGAGTACAACATGCATGTATCATGAATGCTCCCCCTGATATATATCTCCCCTAATTCCGCATTCTTCAAATTTAGCTGTTTAGTAAGTCAACGTAATCCAATACTTTGCACTATCTTCTGAAACATGCACTTAGGTAGAGATTTGGCAAACAAATCTGCCAGATTTTCATTGGAACAGATTTGTCTGACTTCAATAACTTTAGCCATCTAAAGCTCATGTGCGCTGAAAAACTTTGGATATATGTGTTTAGTCTTATCGCCCTTGATGAATCCTTCTTTCATTTGGGCAACACAGGCTACATTATCTTCATGGATGACAGTTGGAGTGTCTGTCTTTGAAGGTAGACCACATGAATTCCTAATATGATGGATCATTGATCTTAACCAAGAACATTCACGACTTGCTTCATGTAAAGCAAGTATTTCTAAATGATTTGAAGATGTACCAATGAATATTTCCTTTGTTGAATGCCAAGATATTGCTGCATCTCCATTCTCCATTCTTGAACACATATCTAGTTTGCGAGCTGACTTTATGCGGATTAGAGAGAAAACCAGTATCTGCATATCCAACAAGGATCTGGTCATTTGTGGATTTCTTTGAGTAGAAGAGACCCATGTTTGTTATCCCACGAAGGTATCACAATACATCTTTAACTCCCTTCCAATGACGACTTGTTGGAGCAGAGTTATACCTTGCTAACAATTTAACTGAAAAAGCTATATCTGATTTACCAGTTCATCATCTTCTTTTGGACAGAATGGATCTTTCTTAATGTCCAAAGAACAAACGACCATTGACGTGTTGAGTGGATAAGCCTTGTCCATGCCAAATCGCTTCAGGATTTTTTCAATGTAAGCTGATTAGTGGACCAAAATTCCACTAACACAATGCTCGATCTGCATGCCGAGACAAAATTTTGTTTTTCCAAGGTCTTTTATTTCATCGTTTTTCAGATATTCAATAGTTTTATTGAGCTCTTTAGGGGTTCCAACTAGGTTCATATCATCGACATATACTGACACTATAGCAAATCCAGAGTTGGATTTCTTAATGAACACACAAGGATAAATGACATTGTTGATATATCATTCTTTAATCAAATACTCACTAAGACGATTATACCACATTCGTCCAGATTGTTTCAGCTCATACAATGATCGCCTTAATTTGATTGAGAGCATACCTCGTGATTTGTTAGTTGTTTCAGGCAACTTAAGTCCTTATGGGACTTTCATATATATGTCAGCATCTAATTCTCCATATTGATACGCGATGATGACATTCATAAGTCGCATGTCAAGTTTTTTCTAAAACCACTAAACTTATTAAGTAACGGAACGTAATTGCGTCCATTACAGAAGAGTATGTCTCCTCATAATCAATTCTAGGTCTTTGTGAAAAACCTTATGCAACGAGTCGTGCTTTATATTTTGCAATCTCGTTGTTCTCATTGCGTTTCCTTGTGAATACCCATTTGTAACCCACAGGGTTTACACTAGGCAGGGTTTGGACTACTGGTCCAAAAACATTTTGCCTTTCCAAGGAGTTTAATTCTGTCTGGATTGCATCTTTCCACTTAGGCCAATCTTGTCTCTGTTTGCATTCATCAACAGAGCAGGGCTTAAGATCATCACTTAATATGATTTCATTGGCT